GTTCCTCCTCCCATTCTCCCCCTCCCCCTCGCCAATCCCGGATAAATAGCGGCCCGCGGACAGAGGCGAGACCTTTCTATTTCCAGAGTTTCAAGGCTTCGCTTTAACTTCGCCTCTGCTTCGCTGCCTATGGCGGCGTGGGTGCGGACAGCTACAGCTTTGCTGGCCGCCGCCGTGGCTGCGTCCGCGGTGGCGGTGCCAGCGGAGGCGCTGAGCCTGGACGTCCACCACCGGTACTCGGCCACCGTGCGGGAGTGGGCGGGGCACCGCGCGCCGCCAGCCGGGACGGCGGAGTACTACGCGGCGCTGGCGCGGCACGACCTGCGTCGGCGGTCGCTCGCGGCCGGGCCCGCGCCCGCCGCAGGAGGAGGAGGGGAGGTGGCCTTTGCCGACGGCAACGACACGTACCGGCTCAACGAACTGGGATTGTGAGAGCTACTGCCACTGCCTCGCTCGCTCGCTTACCGTTTCTCGTCAATCTAATATTTCTTGTTGGCTTAGCTTAGCTTCGAATCGGGGAGAGGGATGAATGAAATGGAATCATTAGCGTATCGGGTTGCTGTTTAGGGAGCTCTGGTGTTGTTTACTTTTGCCTTCTTTTTGGGCTAAAGCAGGCGGTGGTTGGTGTTGGTTGCGCAGCTTGCATTACGCGGTGGTGGCGCTGGGGACGCCGAACGTGACGTTCCTGGTGGCGCTTGACACCGGCAGCGACCTCTTCTGGGTGCCCTGCGACTGCATCAATTGTGCGCCCCTCGTCTCCCCCAACTACAGGGTACCGCTGCTGCTTCTCCTCCTTTCTCTTGCTTCTACTCCACCCTTCGTTATGATTGCGACTGAGTTGGATCTTTTGCTCTACTAGATGCTAGTAGTATCTTCTAAAAATATTAGATTACAAAGTTAATTCTCGAGTTTCTTCCGAGATTACTGCATGATCACGCGGGCATATTTCGTGAAAAAGGGGAAAAAAATGGAAGCATGGCATGTGTCGTGTACAAATCTTCCAGGAGCACGACAGCTTCAGCTGGGACCTTGTAGGGGTTTAAATAAAAACAAGTCCAATTCATTGGTCCTGGCCCTGGACAGGTGTACTTTTTTAAAAAAATCTGAAAACGAGAAGTTCTTATTTTCTGTCAATATCACAGAATTTTGTAGTCTCCTGGTGCTTCCAATCCATTGACTATACTATCACCAAATTGTACATGTCTCATGTCTGTGCCATGTGTAATTTGAACAGGATTTGAAGTTCGACACCTACAGCCCTCAGAAGTCGAGTACTAGCCGGAAGGTCCCGTGCAGTAGCAATTTGTGTGATCTGCAGAGCGCATGCCGATCAGCAAGTAGCAGCTGCCCTTACAGCATCGAATACTTGTCTGATAACACGTCGTCCACCGGTGTGCTAGTTGAGGATGTCCTGTACCTGATAACGGAGTATGGGCAACCAAAAATTGTTACGGCCCCCATAACGTTTGGGTATGCACTCTATGATACACCCCATGCTAAACTGTATAATTGCTTGTGCTTTTTTCCGTGTGCTGAATCTTGTGCCGATTGTTCAGTTGTGGGCGGATTCAGACGGGTTCATTTCTAGGCAGTGCTGCACCCAATGGTCTACTTGGGCTTGGTATGGACAGTATATCAGTCCCTAGTTTACTAGCAAGTGAAGGAGTTGCTGCCAATTCCTTCTCCATGTGCTTTGGAGAAGATGGTCATGGTAGAATCAATTTTGGGGACACTGGAAGCTCAGATCAGCAGGAAACCCCGTTAAACATTTATAAACAAAAGTACGTTCCGACTCATCATATATACATTTCATATAAACAAGAAACTCTTCATCAACCTCATCTTGGTATACCTTCTTCTGCAGTCCATATTACAACATAAGCATCACTGGTGCTATGGTGGGAAGTAAATCGTTTAACACCAAGTTTAATGCTATTGTTGACTCTGGCACCTCTTTCACAGCTCTGTCTGATCCGATGTACACTGAAATCACTAGCAGCGTAAGTATTATCAGCCTGTTCGCTTGTTGGTTTCAGCCAGGGCTTATCAGACAGCCAACAATGTTTTCCTGTCACAACAAACCAGCACCAGTCGGACTTATTAGCCCAGAAACCAACCAGCGAACAGGCCGTATGTCTAATCAACGCTGCATCTTTCGGACGCGGAAAACTTGCCTTTAAGGGCATATGCCATCATGTGCATCCACTGTTCGATATACATGGGGATGCGTGTGCAAAAGGAGAGAGAAATGATACACATAGGGGCATATGCCCCTAAGGGCAAAATCAACATTACCTGCATCTTTCACTGCGTTTTGTTCTTACACATGTTCATTCTTAATCAGTTCAATTCACAAGTCCAAGATAAGCCAACCCAACTTGACTCTTCTCTGCCCTTTGAATTTTGCTACTCCATAAGGTATTTTCATCTAGTAACAATCCCTCATAATTATATCTACACGTACTGCTCCATGTATGCCTGATGGATTTGCTGCTGCACACTCCAGTCCAAAGGATTCTGTCAATCCTCCAAACATAAGTTTGACGGCGAAAGGTGGAAGCATATTTCCTGTCAATGATCCAATAATTACCATTACGGACGATGCATCTGTAAGATAGAACTGGCACTCTACTCTATTTGTTTATTTGTTTATCTGTATCCCTGTAAGCGAGTTTGTTAATTTGCAATACCTCTCTCTCTCTCTCTCAGAATCCGATGGCATATTGCTTGGCTGTTATGAAGAGCGAAGGTGTTAACTTAATAGGAGGTAAGCGCTTCTGCGTTCAAACTCTTAAACCTTCTGTTTGAACTTTAAGGCGCTTGGTCTGCTTTATTATGAAAACCCATTGAATGGATTCGCTATGCTACTGTTAATCAATAGACTTGCTTTTCTTGCCAGCTTATCAATGTTTTGTTCATTTATTCCAAATCCTCTCATGGTGCCCTGTTATCGCATCATATTTGAGATCAGGGCAAAAACACACATGCCAGCTACATCCATGATTGTTCTTTTATCTTGATCTCAATCTGGACGTAAGCAGTGATAATAGCTTGCCTCAATGTTCTTACCTTGGCTAGTCATTTTTTATGCAGAGAATTTTATGTCTGGGCTGAAGGTTGTGTTTGATCGAGAGAGGAAGGTCTTGGGTTGGAAAATTTTTAATTGTAAGCTCCGGCATATCCATCTAAACGTTTTTTACAGATCAAATTTACAAAAGCTTGAAACTAGAGCAATGCCCTGACATGTTGTGGCTGTCATGCCAGGTTACAGCGTGGACAACTCAAGCAACCTTCCAGTGAACCCAAATCCTTCTGGTGTTCCCCTTAAACCTGCCTTGGGACCGAACAGTTACACTCCTGAAGCTACCAAGGGTGCCTCGCCCAATGGCACCCAAGTTTTGCAGCCTTCTGCAAGTTTTTCGCTGAAGCTGCATTGCAACAGAAACGTCTTCGGCGCTGCTGCTCTGCTATTCCTCATGATCCTTTGATCACCTCAACTCCCATGACAGTCTTTTCAAAACAAAATCGACAGATATGATAGATTTAGTTAAAACTTGATCACCCTGTATTGATTTACGTATAGTGCTATAGGAACACATTCTTTTGGCTTGTGTCCACAGTTCCAGTAGGAGTTAGAATAGAACACGGGATGAGTCCATAGCCTCATAGGCCATTTTTGTTCCATTTTTACACGTTCATAATGTATCTTGTGATAATTTACCCCACCCAGAGTTTGTGTGGTGGTGGCCCTGGTGTGTGTACATATTAGAGATGACTTCAGGATGTGTTGACCTTATAGAATAAGTTAATAATGATGCTCACATATAGAAATTTATACTTCGTATAATTGGTTCTCTATGATGCTCTCGTCCAAATATTACTTTGATGTAGATTTTTTGTGAGGATGAGAACACTGAATTCACCGACATTCTGTCCTTGTTTCATTAAAGTTTTGCTGAGGCCCCCAAATTCACAGGGACGCCACTGATTCTATGACGTCATAACTTTTCACGTTTCAACCTTTTGTTGATTTCGTTTGGATTTAGGTCATGTCTGGATTTCATCCACTAGCCACGAATAGTTAGCTGATTAATAATTCATATTTGACATTACCTGTGTACCTATTAACTGATCTTGTAAAAGAAATCTTACCATCTTTCAAGCCGCAAAAGAGGAAAAAATTTGGGTGGAGACGATCCCTATGGAACAACCATGGACACTCCCCGTGAATTTGCGACGCGTATCCATCCAACAGATGAAATTGTTGCTTAAACTTAAGAGGAATATTGGAAAGAAGAATTGCATTTTTCTCGTGGGTGGCCATAGTTGCTCCACGAGGACCCTTCGCACCAATCTTTTTTCCCGCAAAATAAATGAGAGATCTTGTAAAAAATATCTTAGCACCTTTTGAGCCGCAAAATGAGAATACGTTCAATTGCTCAAACGATTAATAACCAATGATACCCATTGGGCTCAAATTGAAGTCCATCAAAGTGGCCCACACAGCCCATATACCCTTCCGTAAAGTCCTCCCGGTACATGTCCAAAATCCGTCCGTCAAAATAGAATCCCGTACCCACAGAATACACGCAAACCTTCAGGGGCATTTCCGTAACTACAACCGACAAAACCCTAGACGCGCGGCAGGCAGCCGACCCGGTCGCTCCCGTTCCCGGTCTGAACGGAGGCGGCCGTATAAAGGCCTTCTCCTCCCGCCCCTCCCGACGGTTATCTTCAATTCTTCACCAGCGACGCCAGCGAGCCAAGGACACAACCGCCGGCGCCCGGCCCCAACTGCCGTGCAGGTAACCGACCGCTCCCGCTTCACGACTAGCAACCTCGCGCGCCGGCTCCGCTCCATTATATTTCTCGCCTTCGACTTGCGCCCGCGCTACAGCAGTTGCCGCGCCCGCGCTGCGCTCTCGCGTCCCGCCGGATCTGAGTGGGCTCGCTCGCATTGTGCTGTGCTGTGTGTGCAGCGAAAGGGAAGCGAGGGGAAGATGGACCGGTACCAGAGAGTGGAGAAGCCGAGGGAGGAGGCGCCCATCAAGGAAAACGAGATCCGCATCACCACGCAGGGGAGGATGCGCAACTACATCACCTACGTCACCGCCTTGCTACAGGTATCCCTACTAGGTTCGCTTCATCGACGACTGTATTGACTGTAGTGACTTTCAATGTCACTGCACAATTTGAATTATCTACTTAGCGCCATAAAGTTTGTTACCATTAGTAGTACGTTGTCAGCGTGGTCAGCTATGCCTGAATTGTTTAGGGGAGTGATTGAAAAGTAAGCGGCATGATTGGCCCGTACGAGTTGTTGTGACATGCACTAAAGTATGTCTCTCCTTTTTTTTTAATTGCAACTAGAATTGTGAAAGGGGAAAGGCACCTATGTACTAGAAGGTGACCTGACTGCTAACTTTAAAGTTTATGTTAGTTATGTTGTGATTTTAAGAAACACAGCACATGATTTTTCATATCCTGCTTATGGCATGCAATCCCATTCATTATAATGTAATTGCCAATTGGTTTGTTGGGTATTTGTCTGATTTAGCAATTTTTGCTGTCAACTTCTGCAACATTATAGGCAAGGGCAAGAGCTTTTAATGTGCCCATGAAAACCCAAAGCAAGTTATGCTAAAGAAGACAAGATTTAAATCCAGATATTGGCTGAGATATATGGTGACAAATAAAAGCGCACGATGTCTGTGATGTGATGCACCACTGAAAAAGGCAAAATATAAGATGCCGTTCTTGTGGTCACTGTCTAATCGCTCTCCTGCTTTAGCTGTCACAGTTTGGTACTTGGCATACCTTTTTTGTTATATGCGGTTGATGTGGCAATATTATTATTGTCTACACGTTGCCATTTTTGTCATATGGTCCATGTGTGTCTCCTTTAGAAAATTAGGACCCCAGTGCCCATTAATCATGTCTCCTTTAGTTGTGTATAGTTGCCATTTTGGGGCAAATTGGAGCAGTTAAATGCCTTGTAGAGACTTCTGTTTCTGAATTTGTTTGAGAAATTTGTTGGATTCTTATATTTGTTCTTGGCCATTTACTTAAATGATATCTTCTTGTCCAAGTAGTTTTTTTGTGCTTTAAAATTGCAAGGTGTGTAAGAGTGTCCAGAATATAATTTATGTGATACTTCTGCTTTTCTGCAATACACTTTGTGTTGTGTGTGCCTGATATGTTGCACCATATTATATTTCTTACTTGAAGGACAAAGGTTCCGATGAGGTTGTATTCAAGGCCATGGGAAGGGCAATCAATAAAACTGTCATGATTGCGGAATTGATCAAGGTACTCCTGATGGTTCTGGTGCTTGCTAATACTACTTGTGACTTGATTCTAATTGTTACTGTTATTCTGTGAAGAGGAGGATTGTTGGTCTCCATCAGAATACCACCACTGGATCTACTGATATTACTGATATGTGGGAGCCATTGGAGGAAGGCCTACTTCCGTAAGTGACTTGTTTCTATTTAAGGATAGAGCTATATCTGCACATGAACTCTTAATTTTGGAGTTTAAGATTATATCTCTCTACAGGCTTGAGACAACAAGACATGTCTCTATGATCACTATAACTCTTTCAAAGAAGGAGCTGGACACTTCGTCTATCGGGTATGCATATTGCACTCTTTTGTCAACTATATTTATGATTTTCTTTGCCAGTTTGTTTTAATCAATTTCTATGGTTGCATACATCATGAACTCACATCTTGCTGCACATCTTGCTGCATCAAGTAATCTAATAAGAAATCAGTACTCCCTCTGTTTCTTTTTATAAGGTATAGTAGGATTTGAAAAATCTTTAGAAGCATTCTTTGATCATCAATTACTCATACAATATATCATCAACTACTTCAAAATCAATTTGGATTAAATTATATGTGGAATGTGATTCTATTGATACAACTTTTATATATGCATGCATATAATTTGAGTAATTGTTGGTCAAAATCTAGGTTTGACTTGTTTGAATCCTAATATACGCCCTATATTTTGAAATGGAGGGAGTAGTTCAGGATGCTTGCTGGCTTATCATCAGTTGAATTAATTGTTTGGGCAGATATCAATCTCCTTTGCCTGCTGATGAAGTGAAGCCTTTGGTTGAATATGATAATGATAAAGGTAACGTGCAAGATTCACTTATGTTAATTATTCTTAACGTTTTAATAATTCTGTATGGCCACATAATTCATTTAATTGATTGTAGATGCACACTCACCCGGTGGCCGAGGAAGGGGCCGTGGTGGTCGAGGCCGTGGGTGGGGCAGGGGAAGGGGAAGAGGTGGAAGTGGTGAGGCTGAGTGCTGCTGAGTAAACCATCAATTTGTCACATGTGCAATTGTTCCTTACATATTAAGTTTCAGGAAATGGGTACAATGACTATGCTGATGGTGGTTGGGAAGATGATCACACCCCTGCATATATGGGCAATGGATATCCCCGTGGAAGAGGTCGCGGTTTCAGGGGCCGTGGCAGGAGAGGCGGCTACAATGGCCAGCCTGATTACCAACAGGATGGAGGCTATTACGAGGAGGCACCTGTTCATGCTCCGGCCCGAGGTGGGTAACCTCACATTCATCGTTTAATACTCCTCCGTTCTAAATTGTATATCCTTTTGGCTTTTCTAGATATATAGTTTTTACAATAGCAAAAGCTATGTACATATAATTTGGGACGAAGTAGCTTGTATGCACAATAATGCCCTTTGCTAATCTAGTGCAATTGGTAACCAGGTCGAGGCCGTGGTCGTGGGAGAGGCCCATCCAGAGGTAGAGGACGTGGTGGCAATGCAAACGGCGTGATTCATGCTGCTGCGGCTGGTGCATAAGCCGTTTGTTACCAGTCTGGACTGGTTTGTTGGATGCCTGCTCCAAATATGAAGATGTATCATCTGTTGTTGTCAGTTAACGTTATACTTGGTATAAGATTGACATTCTGTGTCGGAATGCAGCCAGGTTTTGATATTTGACTAGGTCTGTAGGGTAGCGTCTTTACAATGCTTCCTCCTTCCCAGTAGATGTCTTAAACTAATTGTAGTTTCGTAAAGGTTTAGAGCAGGGCATTCTTTCATTTTTTTTAAATATAAGAACGAAGTATTGTTCCCTGTTGAAATGTGCACGCTTTTGTATGTGCTGTTTTTGAAATAGTTCGATTTAAAAGTTTGTGGTAGTTGCAATGTGAATGACCTGTGTACACGACGGAACAAGACCTTTCTCTCCATGTAAGTGTCGTCTACGAAATCTACAGTTCATTTCAGTACGTGTGTACAATGTCACAAATCTCGTGATCTACCTATGGGACACCTGAGGCAAGGCTTGAGTATATAGCAAGGTAACGCTCAATCTCAATCCTTAAATAATTTAAAGGGAGGCAAGGATTAGTTTAGCATGATAAACTCGTAGTCCCAAATTTCTAATTGTCCAACATCTTCAGAAGATATAATTCTCTAATGTGGAGTTCCAATTGTCCAACATGTTCTTCAGAAGATAATTCTCTAATGTGTTGAAGAGTTGAAAGGAATAAGGCCTACTTTGCGGCTCTTTTTCTGAGCACCCCCAAAGAGTACTTTTATAGCGAAAATCATTCTAATAGCTCTCTTATTCAACCTTCTCGAGAACACTGTTGCAGCGTTGCTGATGCTGAAAGCATTGTAACCAAGGCCATCAGGGATGAGGCCATTGATGCCACCATTTGATCATGCCAACAGTTGGATGGTGTCTAAGGAGACCGGTGATGTCTTACTCTACAAATGAGCCACAGAGAGCTTTTAACTTCCGGTTCGCATTTTGCTTCAACATGCACAAGGAGGCAGTTAAAGCTCTGAAATCCCCTCCAAACTCTAACAAGGAAAAGGAATGCGTTGAGAAGAGGCACAAGAGGCTCCACCAGGAGGGACGATGATGACTTAGTGTAGTTGATTTTAAGTTTGGCTAGAGAACTTCTTTGGGCTTCCTACTCTAGTTGCAGAGTGGGCTGAAATTTGAAAGCTTTTGGTGTTATTTGCCACATTTTTTTATCACTTCAAAATTCAAATGGCATAGAAAGCACATCACATTTTTTTTTCCCTCAGATTGTATCCAAGGAAATTTGAGCCTCCTGTTGCCACTTGCCAGAACGTTTTTGGGCTATGTACATAATGTACTGTTCCGCACCAATGCAAACAAGAATCTGGAACTCGTAGTCTAGTGCATATTTACATATCCTGTTGCCCTTTGTTGGCAGTACATTTTTGTGATACATATACTGCTCCGCACCAATGCAAACCAGAACCTGGAGTGCAGTGTGCAAGCGTGCTGTAAGATTATTAAGAAAATTAATAGCCTATTATACATTTAACTTAGCACTGATCGAATGGGGATGTAGCTCAGATGGTAGAGCGCTCGCTTAGCATGCGAGAGGTACGGGGATCGATACCCCGCATCTCCATGTTTTCTTTTTATATCTGTTTCTCTTCAGTTTGTCTAAGTTCATTTCAAAATTCTTTTTTTTTTCTTTTTCTTTTATATATTTGTTTTTCTCTCCTGTTCGTCTGTACAAGATAGTGGTTATTTCCCTCCTGCTTGTCTAAAGTTCATTTACAATTTTTTCTTTTATATTTGTTTCTCTTCAGTTTGTCTAAGTTCATTTCAAAATTCATTTTTTTTCATTTTATTTTATATATTTGTTTTTCTCTCCTGTTTGTCTGAAGAAGATAGTGGTTGTTTCTCTCCTGCTTGTCTAAAGTTCATTTACAAATTCTTTGTTTCTTCCTTTTTCTTTTTTGTATATTTGTTTCTCTCCTGTTTGTCTGAAAAAGATAGTTGTTCATTCTTTGTATGTATTCTTGTATTTTAATACTGAACACGAATATTATTAAATAACATCCACTTGAACTTAGAATTGTATTCTTCTAAATCTGGAATAGTACTCTCCTGATTTTTTTTAAAGTCAAAACATTGATATGTGAAATCTGGACCTTAATGAGAAAATTATTTTTCAACGATTTTTTTATCTATATATATTTAAGTGGAATCTTGTTTAGAAGGATTTATTGTAATGGTGCAATCACGAATTTAATTTAGACACACAGCAACTTTTTAAAATCTTCAAAGGGTTTCATCAAGCGCTGATATCAGCAAATCTAGTTTCTCCTTTAAGTTGCATAGATCCATCATTCATAGTAGGGGCGATCGAAGAGGTGCTGCATTCCCACCAGTACGACCATATCACAATTCACATCGCATACACACCCAAATATTCCCACATCTCAATCTATCTCATTGGTCATTTCCAACAAGGAATGAGTGTTGGTTCTTTTAAACAAAAAAAAGGCATCCTATTCCAACCACAGCAGCAGCGTATACCTGAAACTCCTCATTGGAAACAAGAAATAAAGAAAAGAGTAATATCATTTTCTTAGCAATATTCACAGGCACACAAATTCGAAAAAAAAAGCTGCATCGACATGATAGAATCATCAGCTAACACAAACCCTTCATATCCAGGGAATATGCGGGAATTACATCTTCAAAGAGAAACAAACCATTTGCCTCAAAAAACATGACATGCAAATCAGTTCCATGTCCATGTCAGAGCGGGAGCAGTAGAACAGGACAAGGGATGAATTCAGCGAGCAAATTCCCATCGACATGCTTCGAGTGGATTGCCTCCATGCTTAGCACAACCAGGTCTAAGTTCCACTCATCAGCGACTTCCCCGATGATAGCTGTTGGTTTCTGCTCTTCCCCAAGACGCTCCATCAATCTAAACTCTGAAAATCCGCCTGCACAGAAGCAATGAATATCAGCATTGCGGTAAGAAACAACACAAAAGGTGGTGTTGATGAGTCAAATGGCACAACAAAACCTTCCGAGAGATGCCATCTAATGCTTGACATTTGAGTATCATGCTCTGGGACAGACTCCTTTGGTTTATTGTCAATAACTGCAATTAACATATTTAGAAATTAGAATACTACCATACAATAGTTCTAATCTCTAAGGAAGAATAAATGTGAAATACCTGAAGCACATAAAGCAACATTTCAGATTGAGAACGTACCAACTACAGTAATGTCTGCTCCATACTTCTTTGCTAGAGAAGCAGTTGTTGCTGCAGCCTGTTGTGTCGTACAAACCGTTATGGGCAAAGCAACTATTTACCAGTGATGGAAGAGTAAGTTGCGGATACAGGACATAATCAACATAAAAGGTCCTCCCTAAAGGAAAAAGGTTCGAGCAGCCAACATATCTTCCTTACTAAGACTGCCAGTCTAAACAGAAATGGCTAGAGTCAAACTTGTCTGATGTTCCATATTAAAGGATGCAAATAAGATTATAAGAAACAATAGGAAGTATCTTGCAGCAGCGTCTACATTAAGAAGTTGCAATTATGTATCTCGTACATATTCTCTACAAATTCTTTACAAATTATTTAGAACACAATTCACCACTTTAAGTATTTTGAAGATAAAGACGAACCTGTCTTGTGCCCTCAGAAAGGTAAGGGTTGCGATCAAGGACTGGAAGCAGAACATGTTTAACTTGCGAGAGGGCATCAACAGCCAAAGCACTTCCAGATTCATTCACTTCCACCCTGACTGATTATCCAAACAGAAAAAAAAGTACTAAGCAGTAGTATCTTTGGCTTGATGAATGATTCACATTCGCAAGAAAATTATCATTATAAAGGAATGCTCTAGTTTAGAAGCTAAAACACAAATGAAATAGACTCACTTTTCAGTTCTTAAACTCTGTTCAAGCCATACTGATCTCGAAATAGGAAAGGAAATCATTGTGGTAATTTTTATACTATACCACTGTACTTTTTTAGCCATTAGTAGAATGGTCTCCTCGAATGCAACTCAGCAGTACTTATTCATGGAACAACCAAATCGACTTATGGAACTTCTGTTATCGAATTAGGTCGGATTTACTGAAGAATCGAATGCAACTGAGCAGCACTTATTCATGCAACAACCAAATCGACTTATGGAACTGTCGGGTTTACTGAAGAGTCGAATGCAACTGAGCAGCGCTTATTCATGCAACAACCAAGACTTATGGAATTTCTGTTATCAAATTTGGTCGGGTTTACTGAAGAATCGAGCACGATGAAGCAAAAATGACAATCACAACTCTCTATTCAGCTAGAGCATGATCCTACAACTAGCAACGAAATCGGTGCTCAGTTGAACTTGGACAAAACAAGAACAGTTAAAAGATAGTTAATTTCACACAACTAAAACTAATATGCTTAGCTATCTGGGAGCTACAACTTCTGTAACCAATTTCACAGAACTACAATTGCTTTGTGCCATCACGTTCACAGACCTATGACATTTTGTGTGGACCCATATATTAGGTATCAGCCACACAAGTGGACCCACATGCATGTCGACTTAGGTTTGTGTGAAACTAAGTGCACAAATAGTTTTAGGATTGTGAAACTGATCTCAGAAAGTTGCAGTTCCTTGACAGTTAGACACGAATAGTTGTAGTTTTGTGAAATTAAATAAAAATCATGCCTTCAGTTTCACAGTTCAACATGACCCGAAGCAAGAGAGGGCCTGTTCTGCTACTCTGAACTTTCACCACTTCCAATCTGAGAAATGAACTCGGACGAATTAGGAATTCGCCTCAAAGTAAAATAGACGAAAAAATCTTGGAATTCAAGAACGATTACGGATTACTAGGTATTGCAGTTCCTTGATAGTTAGACACGAACAGTTGTAGTTTTGTGAAATTAAATAAAAATCATGCCTTCAGTTTCACAGTTCAACATGACCCGAAGCAAGAGAGGGCCTGTTCTGCTACTCTGAACTTTCACCACTTCCAATCTGACAAATGAACTCGGACGATCCCCAGATGGTCCTACGTTCTGGAATTTCATAGACAACTGCCGATCAAGAGCGGCGAGGCCTAGAGAGATCCTACTCTAAAGCAGGTCTCGCGCACGCGCACGCACACCGAGCGGACCGGCAGCGGAAAGAAAGTGCCGAGTTTGAGCTAAGAGTACTGGGGCAAGGGCAAGGAGAACAGGGATTACCTCCGTGACGGGGTCCTCGGCGCCGGCACGCAGCGGCGAGCGAGACGCTCTTCTTGGCCGGCGAGAAGGCGGCAAGCTCCGGCGCGGGGCTCGCGCAGACGCGGGAGGCCGGCACGGGGAGTAGCGAGCTGGCAAAGGCCATGGCGGTCGGTCGGGCGGTTTCGATTGGCCTAACCTTGGTAGCGGCTGCGGCGGCGCGGCGGCGAGGAAAGGTTGGCGACTTCTGGAACGGCGTGGAGACTGAAGAGGACAGAGGAGAGACCGAGAGGGTCCGTGGAGCGACGGGGACGGGCGGAAGGACAGGTGGAGGTGGTGGCCGTATACCGGGGAGCCGGACGGTGGCCCACGGAGGCTGTGGGGGTAGATGGATAAGTTTTTCCTAGTGCTCCTCTTTTTTTTTCTATTTCTTCCTTCTAATCTGTTTCCATGTGTGCTTGGTCACTGCTCACTATGTACAAATTTTCTTTTTGTGCAGCTTAAAAAAGTTATAAACTTTTGTTTGGTTTTTCCCTGGATGATCTATATCGCTGGCAAGAAATAACTAAAACAACGTACTTTCTAAAAATCACAAAAGTTTATTTAGCGTAAAAAAAATTCGATATGGAATGCTCCTCTTGTGTCTTCCGTGGCTGGAGATGAAAACGCATATAAGACGGTCTCCAACGGTGGGAAGGCAAACACGAGACCTATCCGAGGATTTGAGTCCCATACAGGCAAAGAGTCACGGACTTCTCCAACCACAGCGAACCCAAAATCCTCCGTCCGGGCGGCTCCTCCAAGACGGCGGCGCAACGGACGGCCACCGGCGCCATCCTCCTCGGCAACGGAGTCCGCCTCCGTCCGGATCTCCTCGGGCCGGCGCGCCCGCGGGAGCGCGTCCAAAGACGCTGCCAGGCGCCTTATGGCATGGCGTGGTCCCTCACCGCCACGGCATGGTGCGTGCGGGGCAGGCTGGCGATACTGGCGGCGTCGACGCCCGGCCATCACGGCGTCCGCCCACGCCCGGCGAACCTCGCCCCCCAGAAGCTGAGGGAACCGGAGAAAAAGCGACGCCTCGCTCCTCGCTCTTATCTCTCTGTGGCGGCATCGGAAGGTAAGAATTGAGCGGAATGGATGGCGGTGGAAATCAATTGCCCAGTGATACTAAAGAAAAGAGCTTCCTTTCTTGCTTACCAGTCGCCCCAATCTTGGAGTTCCTCCTTGCTTCCTTGCCTTGCCTCTTTGGGTTCTCTGCTCCCTCTCCCCTCTCCCCTCTCTCCTCCCTCTCTACTCCAAGCCCGGGCGGAAGAAGAAGAACAAGCAGAGCACCACGACCTTGTGAACGACCCCGACGCTGTGACGGCGGCTTCAATGAGCAGAGGGCGCGCGGCGCTCCGACGGCTTCAAGCTCCGGCAGCGGTCCGGCTTCTCCATCGCGTGCGGCCGCGGCCACCATCGGAGATTTGCATAGCGAGGAGAGAGCGACGCTTTTTTGCGTTTCGCTTGGGTTGGCAGGCAAAGTGCGTCGCGTGGATGGGTCATCCGTTGGAGCCATTTTTTGATTGGCAAAAGCACTGTACAAGACTTATTTTTGGGTTTGGGTAGTCCGTTGGAGTCAGTCTAACTAGTGTATTCGATGGTGGGTTTGAGCTAGGGCTTATCAGTCCGTCAATAATATTTTTCTCTCATAATAAATCTATTAGATTCATAAACCTAGGGTCCTTAATGGGTCCGCTTTCTAGCAAAAGCTTGGCCCAGCAGACGGCATTATAACAACGCGTGTCTCCTGGGCGGCCCGGATACCTAACGACAGGTCGGAAGAGCGATCCAGTCTCTGACCGGAAGGCCTGACCAAGGACGGGACAACACTCGCTTCCAACTTTGACCCGCTTTTCCGACCGAGAATACGCCGAACCTCTGCTTATAGTTCTTCTCCGACCGACGCAGTCGGAGCCGACTAGGAACAACCGACCGAGAATGCCCGCTCGGTGAGGACCCAAGAATCAGGCGGAGCAGATAAGACAAGGCGCTCAAGTCAACCGCAATACCAAGGACCGTACCCTGCACACCTATAGGACAGTACCGCCTAGGCCATACTAGAAGGGTGCTTTGCAACCTTCCAAGCATATCAGAACCAAAACAGTGTTGTGGGCATCGACATTTGCCTTACAGTGTTGTGGGCGCCGTCATTTGCTATACCAGGCAAACACAGTAAAGCCTGTCACATGCGTCTGACATAAACAGTATTGTGGGCACCGACGGCCATCTTGTATCCAACAACGTGGGCAACAAGACTTAGTAGCACATGTGCAAACTTTCTCTCTCTTGTAAAGCCATCCCCTTCACCTATACAAGGGATGCGCTCTGTTGGGTTTACAAACCCAGAGTTCCTAATGGATCTGCTTCCCAGCAAAAGCTCGGTCTAGCAGACGACGTTGTGAACGACGCGCAACTCCTGGGTCGGCCCGGATAACTAATGATAGGCCAAAAAGGCAATCTAGTCTCTGACCGGAAGGCCTAGCCAAGAAGGGACAACGCTCGCTTCCGACTCGACCCGCCTCTCGACCTAAAGGCTCTGGTCAAGGAGGGACGACGCTTGCTTCCGACTTTGACCCGCCTCTTCGACCGAGAGTACACCGAACCTCTGCTTACAGCTCTTCTCCGACCGGCGCGGTCGAAGATGACTGGAAAATGACCGAACGGGGACGCCCGCTTGGTAAGGACCCAAAGAATCAGGCGAAGCAAGAAAGGTAGGGCTCTCATGTAACAGAACCGACCAAATCATAAGAACGTAAGTACAAAAACAATCACCGAAGCGATCAAATTCCTGTACTTAAGCTCCCATAATCCCGTGAGTCCAGGAAATCACGAAGGATTTCAACCAACTCTCGACATACAAACCAAGATCGTAATGATTCAACACAACACATCATTCGTTACAACATTTCACAAGTAGCATTCGGATTACATCCATCAGAGTTCAAATAAAATATTACAAACCAAGTTTGAGTGTGCGGAAGCAACATAGTTTAGTACATAACTTCATAGTTTCAATTACGTTGCGGATCGTAGTCATGTCCCACAAAAGCATTATCGTGCACGAGAACTAGTAGAGACCGCGCCTAACGGTCTAGTCTTCATCCCCGGCGTAGGGAGAAGGCAAGACTTGCAAAACAACCAAAGAAGAACCGGTCATCTCGCAATGTGGGAAATAAACCCCGAGTACGAGAAGGTACTCACCAGACTAGACTTACCGACAAAAATCGTAATTAAAAGACACCAAGGATCATGCAAGGCTTTTCGTGGGTGGGCTAGCTTGGCACATTTGCATAAAAGAGCTTATGAGCATAGTAACCAATTTAAACTTAGCATCAAGCTTATCATCATTTACCGTCCACTAGATTAGCTTTTTGTACTAGAGCACTCACTTATTAGGAGCAAACAATATTAACCATAGCAGGGTATAATAAGGTTGGCATCATCATATCATCATTTCCGAACCATTAAGTATTAAGTGTATCTACATTGGAGATAAGCCCGTCAAGTTCTCACTAACGGGAGAGACGGCGATTGAATCGAATTACAACTCAATGAGAGGGGTATTCCTAACTCTCACCTGGCATACTTTGCAAGGGTAGCCGTGGGTCACCTTTGGAACATCTCAGAACCAAATTGCGGGTTCGATCAAGGCCAAACACTCTCGTGGATTACCCTTCCGCCGGGACGATCGGGACTTTTAAATCACCGCCTTGGACTCACGCCCACGGCTCCCTTTCGAGGCGCACTTTATACTTATCGACTCCCTACCGAGGTGAGCTACTCGGCCATGGGTCGGTCATCGGACACGGCCAACTAAGAGAGAGGCATGCGTTCAACATGAGCAGGAAAGGCTCCAAGAATCGGTCCTTAAGCGACTACAGACGGAGTCCTTCGCAAACCGACAAGCCTCAAAATGGGTCTTCATTTCAAATTAAGACTGGTTCTTTTCCACGATAGCAAATATAGCCAACCGTGCCACATGTATCTTCCTATATCTCATGGGTGGACAGAAATCACCCGACTTCTACCGCGTTGAAGTTGTGGCTAAGCACTACTCGAGCCTCGAGCTACATAGGATCTGTGGTAACAATATCCGGACAAGGAATGGGTAACCAATGCGCAAGTGTTTGCATCCAACACCTAAACTTAATGCAACAATATATGTAATAATAATATCAGAATCGCAGTTCGGAAAATAGGAGGCTTAATATGCTCCGGGGCTTGCCTTTCACGAAGTTGCAAGGACGGTGGTCAGGGCACTCAATGGCGACCTCGTCTGGCACTTCTCCAAGGTGCTCTCCCCGAATCTCTCCGGCGTCATTGCGTCTTTGCTTTCGCTTTCGGTTCCTCAATTCCAAGAGAGGTTACTCCTTCCGGTACACCTATTGCATGCCGATGCACAAGATAAATATCATGAATGCATAAGGAATGACATGATGCTCATGATGAATGAATCACAATGGGTGTTTACGAAAACATCTTTGGACCCTCGTTTATCGAAAGTAATTAGCTCTATTCAAATCACTTTAAGCATGTATCCAACTTAACTTAAATAACAAGAGCAACTTACCTAACTTGCATAACCTAAGATAAAGATGCTCATCTTCAGTTAAAGGCCTAACACCTAGCAACAGTACCATGAACTTAGAATAGTATGAGACATGCTTAAAATAACGATTAAAGCTTCATATGCAACAAGTAGTAACTTAATTCTATCATAACCAGAGTTCTATAACTCCAAATGACTTGCAAGAGGACATTCTGGAAAGCTTATGAAATTCTCTACAATTCATTTGTAAGCATCAAGGCATGATTCTGAAGTTAACCAAATCAATTTCCAGTAGACCTAGAATCTGTCGAGAATGCCGGGGTTGCTAACTTAATTATTTAATGATGGTGCAAAAGCCCAATTTGACCAAACCAAGTTTACCAACTTGTTTTTCATATCTAAGAAACATCAGAAAGTATAGTGCTAGCTTCTAAATAAATTATTTAATATCCTTTTCCAATTTATTTAGTTAATTAGGTGATTTAAACAATATATAGTAAAACTATTCATAAAAATCTACAAAAATTACAGTAGCTATCTCATGCTGCACATAGACTACCATAAAAATTCCAAAG